AATAAATAAATTAGATAAGTATCTATCTGGTTGAGCAAAATGATGTTTCTCTCTAACTACTAAATATCATGTGCGGATTAAGACGCCTTCATATTATTTATGTCATCTGCCCATTTCTCAGTACAAAATCAAATGTGCAAATACAGACCATTTGAATTGTAACCACTGTTATTTGTAGCTTTACTACCTCCTCCTGTCCAACAGATTTTCCGAAGTAATATTGATGTAAAGAGTGGAGGTTCGAAGATGAAAGGGGAATCTGGTTCTCAGCAGAGTTTGAACTAGCACCGTCCAGATTATAAGTCCGTCGCCATATCAGCCTACTTATGTGACCTAAATGCTAACCAAGTCACCATTTCGATGCAATCATCGTGGATAAATCCTGGCTGCCATCACGTGAGTGGACGACATGTAACTATTCGCTTGTCGTCATCAACTCTAGGAGCTCAGATAGTAGTTTTCCACTATATAACAGCTTTAGATTTCAGCTGTTCCCTAAACGTGTACAAATTATCAAGAGTGACACTTAGAGTGAGTTCTGATAACACAGACTTAATAAGGTTGTTCACTTGCGAAATAAAATTCAATTTCAAAATAAGCGGCTTAAGAGAACACTGTTCGAACAACTCTACACGCAGGTTAATGTTTCTGAAATTTTCCATGTTGTTGTATTTCGTTGAATTAATGAATGTACTGGGTTAATAATGATCAGCAGTGATCTTAACAGATGCTTTTGTGAACAGATGTAACATTCAAATGATCGGATATTTAGATGCTTTTTCTTAAATGTCGAGCTAATTCATCTGAGCGTGCAAATCTCTCACCACATATATTGGTACGGTTAGTGAAGTCGTCGTCACTGAGTGTTTTCAGCAATCACTTTACGTGGGTACGGGAAAACACAAACAAGAGGCGGTCGTTCATCGGTATGAATACGATAATGAGCCTTTAGATGAGACAGTTTTGCATAACTTCTCTCACAGCTTTGTTGTTGTTGTACAGTATTCATTTGTGTGCTTGTAGATACATTTTCATAGTCTGACAGTTCATCATTATTCAACGCTTTCAAGTGGTAAATAATGATGATAGTTTGAGTAGATGCTTTTGAATCAGAATCTATCAAATAAATGCTGGTGGTGGGACTGTGGCATTTTCATCACCATCTTGTCTACTCATTTTGCTGCATGATCAATTTCTTCAGCTCTGAAAACACCACCACCTTTTCATTTCTTATCATCGATGGATGAAGTTCATGGAAGTCTTCAATGTTTCTTGATTCCTCCTCTTCTGACGTCAGTAAAGTCATATCAAATAAAGGAAAACATTTCAGCATACTATTACAGTAAAATCTCAGCTTATTACAGTAGCTGACCTAACTGTAAACGCGCTTAGAAATAGAACTCATCATAAATCTCAAATGTTTCACGAAACTATTCATGCATGAATTAAGGCGCTTCTGCAGACTGGGACTTGACTAATGAATCCATTAGGACTTCAAGAAATCCTAAGCTTTCTTTTATAGTATTATTGATTACATGTTCGACATATATATATATATATATATCTGTTCCGTTATTGAAAAATGATGACAACATACCATTCATTATATTATTCAAAAAAGGAATTATACTTTGTTAGTAATAGTAACGGCGGCCTGCTCGAATCCCTGGTCTACCTAGATTTCTGTCCAACGAAATGCATAACATTCTCTCTGTTCTATTGTGTTTTAACTATGCAATTATATCCATGGGTCGCCAAATGTACTCACATATACACTTTCAATCAGCTTTCAACTTACTGATGTGTATTTTTAGGCGATGAAAAAAATTCTATTCTTCAAATAGAACAACAGTACTGGGTCATATGATGTACTCTGGATTGTTATTTCACTTGAGAATCCTGGATGATACGCGAATATTTATAGTTGTTCCTAATGTTATTCAATAAAATAAGATGAAATCTTATGCGAAATGCATTAACTTACTTAGTCCCTACCACACTAGAAATATTCGCATAGTAGTAGTTGTAGTAGTCACAAAGTACACATTTTCACAAGTTTTATGTCTTAATATGCTGATGACATCAAAAAGACATGATAATACGCATCTATCTACCTATCGAATGACATCAAGGTAAAAGTTCACAACAGCGGTTTTATTGTGATGAGAGCTGGCGGTTAGCTGAAGTCTGTAGACAGTAATTCACGTCAATGTTTACATTGCCAATATTGGTCGTGAGAAAAATAAGAACAATGACTGATTCAATAACCAATCACAGTAGACTTTTTGTAGGCGGATACAATTAGAATATAGATGATCTGAGATTCAAGAAACAGCCACAAGGAGATGATAGATTAACTTTCAGTGAGAAACAACCAATCAGAACACTGTATCTTTCTCCTAACAATAATCTCTAATAATGTACATGAAAATCGATAAATATGTGTTGATTTCCTTAATAAACGTTCTGTTTCTTGTCTTCTGTTGTTACACTATTACATCACTTAACATAGTGGTCACCTAACACACCTGACTGATAAACAGTTTAATGTGAGATGACAACACATTGGTTATAACTCAGTAAGCAGTTAGATTGAAATTATATTAAGGATATCCACCAAATGATTTATTTTATATTAACATATCTTATATTTTTTAAAGAGAACTGTAGCATTTCCACATTCAACTTATCGCGTTATGCATCAGTGAGCTTAATTAACAAGTTCATTCATTCATTCAATATTCATACTTTTCTGTCCACTTTTGGGCCTCCACACAATTATGATGATGATGTCGATAGTAATACTGTTCCTCTTGATCAATCCATAAATCTCTTGTTAATTCACACACTGAGTCTTTTAAGATGAAAATTCTCTTTCAATTAACATATAAATAAATAAAACTTGAGAATTATAAACCCTCTTCATTTATTTACCTTTTAATAAAAATAGATTTTCTCCTCCAAGTGAATCTAAATCTTGTGATATAAAATGTTGCTTTGCAACCCTAGTGACTGACTACAGGATAAAGCAGCACGAAGTTCTAGTGGGAAGTCGTTATTGACCGCATGAACCAAGCTGGGCATTACGCCAGATACTCACCGGTGATATTGGCTGATGGCCGCGATACACTGAGAATTAGTAGACGCTAGAATTGATGGGCCAACGGATTCCGTCCAGTGGTTGAATGGTATACGACTTTTCCTCGTAATATGAAGGTTCAAGACTCGATCCCTGGTAGAGTCATCGACGTGTGTACCACTGAAAAGTGCCAAACGAGTGGGAAACTGCTGTTCAGTACTCCCTAGTTTACAACTGTTCTCTATATGATGTCACTTAGTGATCGAAATTCATAGAAAATGTTTGGGAAATTATTTCTTCGCGCTATGTCGTGAACTGGCAGAAGCTAGAATTCAAGGACCATTGGATCGGGTTCCAGTGGCTCAATGGTCTACGAGCTCGCCTTGTAACCAGAAGGTCCCGGGTTCGAATCCCGGTGGGTGCGTACTGATGAGGAGTCCCAAACTAGGACGAAACGGCTGTCCAGTACTCCCTGGTTTTCCAGTGGTTCTCTAACTGATGTCAGCTCATGATGAAATCCTCCATGCAATCAAACAAAATCCCTACAAAATCCAATACTTGAAAATTATTTCTTCAACAGTTCCAGAGCTCAGTGATTATGTTGGCGAAACAAACGTGAATGTTGAACTGTTTAGTCTGTATAGTAGCAACAACCTCCAATCGAATTGTTGAATGTTACCAGACATTCATATATCATAGTTGACATGTAGTAGCACATATATTTTCGCCTCGTAAAATTCAGTACCTGCCTTATTACATTCATTGTCTCTATACTCAATTCGTTAACAATATGTGAATGACTCAATCCCACACTTTGATCAAAAATCGATATGGTTCGAAAGATCACTGAGAAATCAGGATGCACTACACTACACTCCATGTCTTTTTCATCCCAGTTTGGGATATTTCGGAAGTGCACACGTACAGCACCATCACACTGATACAATGCCTGCCATTCATCCACTAGGCTTGAATGAATAGAATGACACATGAGATCATGAGTTGCCTTTATAATTTCATTAGTTTATTTGAAAATCTTCCATTACCTTCAGTAAACCTGAGCTACAATTCAGTTGTTTCGTGTTAGAGAGTTGGTAATTCTTCTCAGAAACTTGTCTTGTAAAGGGAAAGAACTAATGAAAGATGGAAGCAAATGTTTGAAATTCGATGCGGTGAAAATAGTTATAGTTGGAGAATCAAGTTTGAAACCCCTTATCTCTTGTGTCATTGACTACTAATCTGGAAATTACTTCTTGTTCTTAGAAACCACTTCTGTATAAATGTATCAATTATGCTAAACACCCTCCATATTACTGAATAAAAGTTTGCTGTATATTTCCTGGAAATATAAATATGATTTTGCAGACCAGGATGATGACTTCATCAATAAAGAGTATTCTCTCGACTGTATCGTCTTTTATCTTCAATACTACTCAAGTTTAACCTCCAAAACCGCAGATTATAGTGGATAGTACAGACAAAGCATCATTGTGTTGCATTTTGATTGGTATACTCAACATATATTGATTTTCAATTATTGGTTTTTTTTCCTTGGTGTTCCCAGTGGAACATAGGGCCTCAAGCTAGTAGCTTGAAGTTACTGTAGCAGTGTTTATTTTACAGGATGGGGTTGCTAGCCTCATACCTAACCTTTCCTCTTTACCGGCATTATTTCTGGCTTAGCGAGGTAAAGGAGTTCGTCGGCCGGGGATCGAACCCCGGACCATGTGCATGGTCAGCGAGCGTCCCAACCGCCTATCACGTTGAATAATAATAATATTTTCCAGAACGATGCGGAATTACCGCTCACTTGCCACATTGAGATACACATTCTGTTGAAGCAAACAGACTGATAAGTGTGGAAAATTTATTACTAATGTTAGGCTGGTTTAAATTCGAGCACCTCAATGAATGGATGTTCTGTGAGACTCAATGAAATACGCAAGAAGGAAGTCGTCGACAACTGGCAGTAATTATTTTCGACTGGATATGCTGAGCTGTAATCGCTCCAACACATGTTGCCAAAAATTAATGACTGCCATTCAAATATTTATTTGCACTATACAAATATATGTATAAAATGTACATATTACAATTACATATTGAATAATTATTCTTGTTGAACAAATGGGTTCGGTATAGCTTCCATTCCATCTGCAGGACAGACTAGTTCAACTGATGGACCTCTAAAATGAGAAAAGTATATATACATATAAAATGTACCGTGATGCTTGCAAATGAATTTTGGTAAAAGTGAAACTTGACTTCTTTTCAATTTCAATCAGTCCTCAACAACATAGAACTCAAAACCACTGATTAGTGGTGAGTGAAGCTACCCCGCACCTCATGTGTGCACTTCAAAGAAGTACGATAAAGAGAGAGAGAACAGACTAAAGGTCATAGAGGTCATCATGATAGGAAGAAGATGGAGCAGATAAGAAAATACGGCATTACAGTTAGGCTGAAAATAGGATGGACACTTCACGGATTCTGAACCACTTTAACTGGCATTTCTGACTGTAGATAATCGAATCTTTGAAATTCATGATGTTTCTCGGTTAGTTTTAGAAGGAAGGAATGATGCCTTTTGAGCGGAAGAAAGGCTGGCTACCTTGTCAAGCTGCCAAAGAAGGGCGACCCAGTTACGCCTCTGCAAGAACTAACTGGCGTGGAATAATGCTCTAGTCCACAACAAGTAAAATACTGAGTCGCGTCATCCTGGAAAAACTAGAACATGCACTGGATGAAGGGGATGCGCCAGTCGGGACTAGCTGGATTCAGGAAAGGCAAATCATGTGCTGATCAAATTGCAACTCTATGCATCATGATCATCACAAAACAAAGCAGAGAATGACAGTCAAAACAGTCTCTACCTCAACTTCACCGACTTTTAAAAGTCCTTCGACAAACAGCGTTGGAAACTACTTTAACACTACAGAGTGAAGTGCCTAATTATTTGTCAGCCTCATTCAACAGCTATATGATAATGACACGTGTCAAGTGATCCACAACGGAAAACTCAGAGAGACGATCGAAGAACAAACCGGAGTAAGACAAGGCTGCCTGTCTATTATCACCAACGATGATATTTTTAGTTGTGGTGGATTGGATTTTGCGTCAAACTGTGCGAGGGGAGTGAGAAAACAGGAATACGCTAGAACGCCGATAAGAAGACTCTAAAAGATATGGAATTCGCAGATGATGCGTCTAATGTCACGAAAACTCGAAGACTTGCAGAAGGAAACCGACAAACTGTCAGGGGAAAAGCAGAAAACACGGGACTTCAAATGGACATAGATAAGTCGAAGGAGATGAAGATTACCAACCTACCAGCAACAACAACCAGCACCAACCACTATCAATGCAAAAGATTTGACAAAGACTGCTTTCTTCACTTATCTGGGAAGCAGGGTTTCAACGACAGGCAACAGAACGGGTGAAGATGTCAGCGAGAGCTTCGGAAATGCAAGATACATCTTGATCATCCTGAAACCAGTTTGGAAGTTGTCTGCACTCTGCCTTGGCATAAAGAACAAGATTCGGATTTACAGCACAAACGTAAAGCCAATCAATTATTTTAAATGGGTCAGAAACTCGCACTGCGCGTCCCCCAAAGGCCTTTAAAACAGGTCACAGACATTTATCAACAGCCACTTTCGCTGGCTCCATGCTAAAGAATCAAATGGCCGACTGGCCAGAAATTATTAGCAACAAAAATCTATGGGGATGAACCAATTAAGAACTTCTTGTTCATATATGTCGAGGAAAATAGACATAGATCGGGCATACGCTGAGGAAACCGTCGATTGACATCGTGCATCAGGCCATCACTCCGATGCCATCCCAAGTGGAAACGACGAGTGGGCTGTCGCTTCGAGGGTGACATCATCCAATATACTGTCAAGATATTAGGGTGAAATTACTACATTGAATGATGCTACTGCTAACAGTATGACAGCAGGTCATGTTCAGACAGAAGACTTAATAATTCTTTCCACGACCAATATTCCTAGTTATCAATGGTGAAGAAGGATAATTATTTGAGTAAGGCTATACAAAAATTAATAAAGTAAAACAACAGGAAGAGAGGTAATCAAAAGTAAGGTAGTTAGGGAGACGGCAACTAACCTACAAACCACAAGACCCAATTCTCTGGTATCTTCAGTCAAGCGATGAGGATCATCTGGATCACGGAGGTATTCAGTTGTACAGTCGATCACCATATTTTGCAAGTTATCACATCCCTTTAAAATACCAACAGCTTCTCGTCCACCGGAAAATTTGACACGAATTCGTTTGTCTATATACCTGTTCAAATCGATAATAGACTCTTTTTTATGCTTCTCTGGTGGTTTATCTCCAGTTGGCATCTTGCTAGAAATGAATAAACGAAAAAGACAATTGAATGACAGCAAATTCTAATAATAAGTAAGAGAATGAAAGGAAAAATATCTCACTTGTATTGCAGGCAATGAATGTAACGATTTATCGGATAAGTCTCAAATTTACTGTGAACTATACCTCCTACTACAGATATGTTATGATGCCTAAATATTTCTTTCTATTTAACTAAAACATATTTTTTTCACTAAGAACGGATTGATAAAACTTCAGAGAATAAACACGGACAGCATCACACACAGACACTCACATAGGCTAAGTTCATTACTACGGTGTAGTGTAAACAGCACTAACACGTTTGCTTCCATATTCTTATTTCCAACCGAAGACTGGACTATATGCCTCTCTCAAGCAAAAATAGATAACCTTAGCTTACTGTGAGTGATGCTAATCACAATGTATGTTTAAGCAACACGCGGTGCGGTGTTTTCAACTACAGAACATTTAACAATGTTCAAGTTAGAGGGAAGAGGAAGATTCCAATATTAACAAAATGAATAGGATGAAGCCAAAAGGGAAAAAGAACCAGTAGAACACAAATATCCTTTGAACAAAAATGAACTAGAATATGAAGAGTAGAAAAATCGTATTAATACACAAACTTCATTTAATATAAAGTGTTAAGATTTCTACTGATTAAGAGTGTTTACTTTTTTTAAAGTTATGCGCTTCTCTTTAGTTTTCTCATAATTAATCTTTTCTCTTCTCAGTCGGTCGAGTCAGTCGAAGTGCATTCTGTAGAAGACACTGCACTATACTCCTTATAAACGTATTTTCACTAACAGCAGACACCTCACTCTGATGCACACACACCAAGTGAGAAATAGGGATATTTTCACTACACAACACTTAGTAGAATTCAATCAAGAAGTGCTTAGTTCAAAAGAGAAAAAGTAGGAATTCTCTCTCATGAATTGTTTATTGCTGTTTGTTTCCTTTAGCTCCTAGAGGAACAAAGGACTTTAACCGCCCATTTCCATTGCTTTCGGTTCTCTGCTAACGTTTTCACCTGTCTCCGCATCTGCTCACATCTCCTCTTCACATGATCTCCTCCATGTCACCCTCACACTGACGACCAACTCGCCGCTTCCAGTTCGGGTTCCACTAGAGAGCCTGTCGTGTGATGTCACTCGATGGTTTTCTCAGAGTATGGCCAACCCACCTCCATTTATTCCTACAGATTTGTTGCACAGTCGGTTCCTGGTTGGTTCGCTCCCAGAGATCCCTGTTGCTGATCATTTTTGGCCATCTGACCTTGAGTATTGGGCGCAGACAGCTGTTAATGAAGGCCCTTTCATAAAACTGTCAACAATAGTAAGCCTCATGAGTAACATGAATTTCTGTGACAACTTAACACAAAATGGAAAATAAATAGGAGCATTAAATGGATAATATAACCGATTACAATTAAGTGAAATCTAACAATGCCAGTGTATTTAATAAGCTCTGCATAACATAATTGCATCGTGCTTCGAAGAAATCATACACACAGCTACAAGTACTTGACGAAGTTACTTAGGAAATATATTGTAACACCTGTGAAACCACTTGCATATTCGTTAACCAAGAAACAACACAAATCCAAACAAGAGCTAAATCAATTGACTGCACATTTTTGTGGCATTCTAGGAGATCATGTATTCGTCTAAGAACAATTCAAGCCTGTGTTGCTGAACAGAAACAGTTGAACACGTGAAACAAACCGCAAAGCACAGTCGTATTAGGAAATATGTTGAGAAATAATAATAGTTTACAGAAAAGAGGACAATCACGTAGCCTGGAGTACACATTTGATTGTTTCCCACTCACACTACTTAAGTGCTACTCAGCAGCCCATATATTCTTAGAGTAGAATTAAAACAGACAAGAGGAAACTAAATGGACAGTGCTATAAAATCAGATATAGACATTTCTACTGGAAGACAATACATACAGTTAGTATGTATGTGTGATTGAAAGCTGAACATCTCATTGGTTTGTAATCAGTGTTAAAAAGTGGATGACATATAAGTGTTACTCAGACAAACCCTTTATTGACATTCGAGTAATCAGCTTCAGTTCGATTTGAAGGTTGTTGATAAAGAGTGTATACAAGGCGCCCTTGGTGTCGCCGTTTACTATAAAGTATATACAATACAACTTTTTATTCACCATCTCAAATACGATGATCCCTAATATAAAGCTGAGATTAGAAATGACTTGTTGTTGTGAAGTCAATCTGACGACATGTGTGGGCATTTATCACTCAACACTCCAATGAGTGAATGCCGAGTTAAAACGTAACTTAACTTCCCCTACACTTAATAATAAGTCACATTGATTGTGAAAAGATTGAACAGCCAAACTTATATCAAGTAAAGTCGGTTTGAACCTGGAGTTGAAATTCTAACAATAATAGGTGACAGTTCCGTGAGTCAACAGAGTGAACCAAACAACTATTACACATATTATTTACAATCAAACATCCTTGATTTTAGTCAATAGAAAAAATTCAACAATGCCACCACAAAATCCACTTCATGTTTATAAATGGACTACAAAATGCTTTGGAGGCACATATGTATATCAATTTTGACGTTCAAGTCTTATTTTTGACTGAATTTAGAAAAACAAGTGAGATACAAGACTTCAATGGACATGTGAAGTTTAATGATTGTTTCATGTACGTTACCTGTCTGATATTTATCAGTAAATAATAACATTATTTACAATAACACCAAAACTCGTGTACACGTGTATTACTTCTTTGTTTAAGGCAGACGAAATAATTCCATTCTGGACAAGTTGATTGAATACAACATACAGTGCAGTGATGCAGTATTAATAACTGGGTGACGTTTAGAGCACAATTTGTTGCTCACAATCATGTCGAATCATTCTCATGGTGTCATACATATATATAACCCCCTCCCGTTGTTGTTCATTGAAACTTTCCATATATCCGGTATAGGCGTTGAGTCATTTCAATCGCACGTGCTTGGTATTGACTTTTGAATTCATTTACCCGGAACATATATCTAACGTACCACGTCGAAAGCCTCACTTGTCATGAAAGCGATGATGATACTACCCAACTGTCCATAGTGAAGGGGGTGGAGTGGGACTGGAACCTGTGGCTGAGTGTTTAAACTCTTGAGTCACATCTGGATTCGATGTTATCACATAAAGTGATAGGATAGGATGATAGTATTTGAGAGTAGTATATATTCATGTAAAGGGAGAGAGAGAGAGAGCTTCAGTCACTGAGTCAACACCGAACACAGGCAATTGAAATGATGCAACGCCCACACCGGATATATGTGAGACTATAACACACAACAAAGTAGAAGCAAAAATATACATATATGAGACATGTGTGAATACACTAACATGAACGATAAATTGGGCTCGAAAGGTCATTCAGCTATTACTACTGTAATACTGTGTGTTATATAAAATATATTTATGCAATATAGAAGGAATTATATTCTACCGAATTGCCTATGTTCTGCCACTTACAACATAGGCGAAAGACTATTCAACATACAGATGCATATAAATAGTGAATACTACTTAAACGATTGATTTCAACACATCCTATATAGCAAAATACATTTTAAATCGTTATGGGTAAATTTTTGTTTTGATAAAGTCTCACAGTGTTATACAGTAATGTTTACTGATAAGCACGTTTCGAGCACAATTTATTACTGCTCATAATCATATCAAGGTACTCACACGACTTCCTAACTTCATTTATATAGTTCCATTATTTTTCACTTGATTTGATTGGCAGTAGTATTTTTCATATTTCAGGTATGAGTGATGACTCATTCCTATTGCATGTGTTTCGTGTAGACTCGATGAACAAGGATTCAGTAATCAACCTCTCTCTATATCCACCCATCTAGATTACTTTTTAGAATTTTAACCCTCTCCCACCCTATTGTGTGGTTTTTTGTTAATGCATGAAATGGAATAGCTGAGCTTTTTTCCAAATTACTTATCTTTTCAGGGTCAACTATTCTTACCTTAGCTAAATTCTTATGTTCAAACAATCCGACTACCCCTGACCTACTAGTTTAACCTATGTAGTTGACCCCACAGTCATCGCATGGTATTTTGTAAATTATATTATTTTGTCTAATTGGTTCAACTGGGTCCTTAAACTACACAGCTTGTCTCTTGTAGGTTTAAATGCCAGCCTAACTCCTGCTCTATTTAGAATCCTACGTAGGGTTTCAGATGTCCCCTCTTTATATGGCATAACTGTAGATGACTTATATATTCTCTCTTATTTATGTTATTATTAATAGTTTCACAATTATTTTTATTTTTTGTTTGACCTTTAATGATCTTCCTAATGAATTTTAAAGGATAGTTATTTAACACCAAAGCCTCTCCTATCTGTTTTAGGTCTTTTCTTGTGCTAATTAGTGCTACTGCTCGGTTTGTTAAACACTTAACTAAGCCTGCCTGCATGCATTAACACACAACCATACAATAGGGTGGGAGAGGGTTAAAATTCTAAAAAGTAATCTAGATAGGTGGATATAGAGAGAGGTTGATTACTGAATCCTTGTTCATCGAGTCTACACGAAACACATGCAATAGGAATGAGTCATCACTCATACCTGAAATATGAAAAATACTACTGCCAATCAAATCAAGTGAAAAATAATGGAACTATATAAATGAAGTTAGGAAGTCGTGTGAGTACCTTGATATGATTATGAGCAGTAATAAATTATGCTCGAAACGTGCTTATCAGTAAACATTACTGTATAACACTGTGAGACTTTATCAAAACAAAAATTTACCCATAATGGAGTTATACTCTACCACAGTGCACGAGTTTTATTCTTATACCAATGACATTTTAAATCGCTATTTATATCCTGTGGAAAAAGAAATAGAAAATAATTGTGATTATAAATTATGACGAATTCTTAGAATTCTTAATAATAATAATAATAATAACTAAATCAACAAGCATAGAAAAAAAACAACACAAACCAACACTTAGTGGAACAAATTTTCTCCACCGAAAATATATTTTAAAAAAAACACGGAAATCTTTGCAAACAAAAAGAGAGAACAAGTTATACTTTTGGATATCATTTCATTTCTACTCTTCTTTTTTTATAAATTGAAAGCAAAATACATAAATAATAAGTGTGAAATTATAATACAAATAGGATCGATCGATCACTTTCGCTTCCGAATCATACACAATAAGACAAGCATAAATAATGGAACCTAGTGAAATAACTATCAACATCATCATCGTCATTATCATAGTGAACACCATTCATTATTCATGTGAATGCAATAATATGAAGAGAAATAATTATCGGTTGTTTCTGTCTGTTTGTGAATAGCTGAAGTAGACGTTTTCTTTTTCAAGAAAGGGACAAGGAAAGAACAAGGAGAAGAAGAAGAATGATGAAGATGACGACGGTGAAATACATAAGCAAGGAATAGACATGATTTGGGTAGGTAGAACTTTGGAAGCAGGAGGTGGTTGTTGTTACTGTTGCTGTTGTTATTATTATTATGATACAATTTTACAAACTTGTCCAAACAATTGCTTTTTGGATGCGTTCACATGAAACTAGAGAATTACCATTTGGATTCCAGTGACAACAGACGACAGTATTTCTGAAATATATAACGAAGCAATAAAATGGTATCCATGTGATGAGACTAACATATCGTTACAAAAAAAAATAATATTCAAAACTGTGTCAAATCACTTGATTAAACAAACCACTATCAGATGATCCTTTTGTAGTTTATTTAACAAGGAAGTGTACTTCTGATGCTCACGTGTTATGTATATATATTGATTATTGTGAGGTGAAATAACTGCATATTGAGTAGGAACAAAAGCAGTAATCTATAAAAAGTGGGTCTTTTCACTCCCTTTACTACAACAGGTTTCAAGCATTTATATCACAGGGGAACGCGTCAACAGAGCTCTCTAACGTTTACATAAATCATAAAAGGCTGTGTGGCTTGAATCCTGTGGTAAGCTAGCAGTACGCGTTATACTTCATTACACAGTGAAGACACTATTCATAACCAGTGGAGGCTAATTCACTAACTTAAAGATCTTAGCAGATTTTTAAATTTTCGAATATGACTTTAGCGGTAAACAAATATTCACCCATGTTACCCAGATACCTTCACTAGCCAATAATTCAAAAGGATTCGGGAAACTGAGAAATGTGTAAGATCGCCTATTATTATTCTGTGTTACACAATTTGTATTTTGCCAAGAAGACTCATTCCAAAAGGAAATTCAAGAAACACAGTGGGATGAGAAATGAGGAATTACTCTAGACACCAGAGTGGTTCATTATCACGTCATTCTCATACGAAGTATCTTAGCAATATAACATGAGCTGTTACCTTTCAGCGTGGATTGATGCTACGCCTCACACATCCACTTACACATTTCTAAGTGAACACGCCAGTAGAATTTACCTTCGACCAAGTGATACAGCATGTGGGTTACATGCATGCCTGTTGAACATAAAAGAATGAGAACGTGTATATCATCCATCATGCATCAGAAAAAAGTGTGATTCCGAATCGAAGGATTTAATGAAATGGAGTGAAATTTAATCGGCTATCGAAACTTTTCATAATGAATTTGGTCTAGGACAATGAGTTTTGCAATACATCTGTTCGCACAGATAGACTGACTCACACCAATCCGATAATAAATAGAACCTCGAGCTGTAAGAACAGCCAATAGCCCGTCACTTGGTGTTAAAGCTTAAGGAACCGAAAGGAGTGTTACATGGTTTTAACGCCTGAATGTAACTTAACAGCCCAGGCATCTTTGATTGAGAAATCACAAACAATAAATTCTGTAATAGACTGATGCTACACAGAGTTGCAGGCAGGTTAACAATGTTTCAAAATACATCAGTTTAGGTATTTTTAGAAATGTTCATGCAATCACTTACGTATGATCTCGAAGACAAGTCTCAAGATTCCCTGAATTAGTACTCCAAATATACACTCCACCATCATGCCCACCAGCAGCAACATAATCTGAATCAGGTGAGAAACATGGTCGAACAATATCTAGACCAGTTTGAAAACCATCTGCCTTCAAACACTGAATCACTTTATTCATACGTAAATTCACAATTTCTAAGGTATTGTTACGTGTACAAGCCAAAACAGTTGTAAAATCTTTGAGGAAAGAAAACAAGGAAAATCAATCAAACGCATAACTTAGAATTAAACAGCAATTAATTCTACTTATTAAAAAAAAAGATAACTCCATAATAAAAATTAAAGCTTAGCTACTTCATCTACGTCAAACAACCAGAATAAAAATGGATTTTGAGGGAATTACAATTAATTTATATTTTTGATTACAGCTTGATTCCACACTGTATTTTTGGTACAAGTCTGGAATTTTCAGCATGGATATCGGTAGCCCAAATTTCGCAGGCCAACCATAGATATCAGGTATTCGTCGGCAGGGGATCGAACCTCGGACCATGTGCATGGTCGGCGACAGTCCTAACTACTGTGCCACCGACGCACAATAACAGTTAATTGGTGGATGATGATCAACAAAGGAATCCAGAATACCGCGCATTTCGTCTTATTTGGGACTCGTCACCTGGATGCACCTACATTCCGCATTGAGTAATGATGTTTACGTCGAAGCTCGAACCCAGTGCAAATAGTTTCAAATGTCAAAGGGTTATCCACTAGACCACATGGGCCACGAGAGCCATCTCTTGTGCAACGGGTAATATTACCTTTTTTAATTCAATTTTAGACTCTCCCGTCGATTGACTGGACTGAAGTGCTCATTCTCAGGTTGACATGTAGGCATCTTGGGCAGATGCTTCGACATATAATTACATGTTCAGACATCGTCGAAGCATCTGCATAAGAAGCCGACATGTCAACCTGCAACCTAGCACTTCAGTCCAATCAATCGACGGGAAAATCTAAAATTGAACTAAATTACAATAATAGTTAATCATTGTAAACAAGTCAACAGCATGAGCATTCAGTAATGTAAATGTTAATGTTCTTATATTCGTGGTTCACTGAGGGTTCCGCACACATTTTCAATGGAGTATCTTGAAAATTTGTGCATCGGTGGTTCAGCTGTAGAATACTCACTAACCACGTACGTAATCTGTGGATCGACCTTCGGCTGACGTACTCCTCAACTTTGTTATGCTGGTATCAAAGTCGGTATAAAGAGAAGTTTAAGTATGAGGCTAGCAACCCCACCTCACTCCGTAGAAACAAATTAACCATTGATCGGAAAAACTTCAAAGCTCTATATTGAAGCCCTATGTTCGACTTGGAACGTAGAGTAATCAAATTTGTGAACAAATATTTGAACATTTCGGGGGTAGTACTGCACAAACTTATTATTCAGGTTGATGTTAAACTTTTGCCACATACCTGAGGAAATATCCATACCAGTAATACGTCCAGACAGCAAGATTTTGCTACTATTCTCACCAGTTCGTTCATCCCAAATGCGTAAATGCTGATCAAAGTGACCAGTGACAAGGGCAGATAAAGTAGGACAAACAACTACATCTTGAAATGTGGAAGCGGCCATGATGGTACGTCTACAGCAGCATTTATCAACGTCCCAAATCTTAGGAGACAAAAAAAACAAGATTAAAATTAAAGAGAAACTGTTATCAACGGAAACTTAAGAGTAGATCACCTGTAGCGAGTCACCAATTTTTGTGAGACACATCTTGGATATCCACCAATTATTTAAGTGGCATATGCATTACATCGTTCACTTTAAACAGACAAGTCAAGAAGCTTGAACGTAGATAATATCACGACTACGTTGAAAAGATTATATTTCTTATTACTGCACCCTCACCTTTGCTGATGGGTTTTAGCAGTAAACAGGCAAGAAGTCCTCAATGTCCCAAGACACGCTTGCAACTTCGCGGATCTCAAGAGCCCTCTGATCTTTCAAACTTAATTAATCAGTGATGATGTTGAAGAATTCATTACTATGCTGTTATGGTCATGATTGAATTGCTGTGGAACCATTCAATGTGCACGAATTGGTCTCCAGTGCATTCTTCGTTTACAATCATTGTCCTCTAAGTCCCACTATCAAAGAAAACTACTATTTTATATCACACAAAACAACTTGGATCAATGTCCATTACCTCAAATTAATACCACGTTAATATCTGTCTTCAATTCACATGCTTAGCATATTCACGATTCTGAATAACAATTGGAAGATGAGACGTGAATTAATGACTATTAGTGATAAACAAGTTGAGAAGTTATCATATCAATACAGTTGCAAAGAGACGGAGAATACCACAAGGACTCAAGTGAAAATCCCGTTAGAACAAGCCATGCCGTTAATTCTTCGTCAAAACAACCAATAAGCATGTAGTCATAGCATAAATTCACCGTATATATAAAGGAACTGGAAAACCCTGATTCGAAACCTATGTTGTACATGGGCTCCGCAATCTAAACAAATCGTATGATGCATGAACCTATTTTAGCCACCAGGATCGCAGCTGCACTGCTTTGTGGGTCGAATTTCAAGCCAAAGTCTCCAGAGGTGGCTTCATAAATTAGCCCTCTGCTTCAGCCTGGATGTCTCGGAAGTACACCTACCCTCGCACAAACTATGAGATTTTGGGTTAAGTATCCTTTTGGTGCCCAAAATGTGCCAAGTTTATGTTTTAACAATAACAATAAAATGTATGCACAGGCCTAATAACCTCTACTTCTATTCCACTTTTACAAATGATAAGTGATATTTCAAGTTTTCAATATCTTTCATTTGACCATTATTACTCTTTCTTACTCTGAGTCGATGGAGAGTGGTAGGACCTGTGACCACACCTAATAAAAACACCGTGTAAATTGCTTGTATCTGAGACTACAATTCACTAAATTCCATTCTTAAAATACATAGTAGCAAATATGGAAAACACTCAGTTAATTACAGTCAACAACGTTTAATTGGTGTAATTTAATCATCTTACCATATAGGGATAAACAATTGTGCACTACATTAAACACAGGATAATATAACAGATCACAAGTACAGTGTATCGTATGACGGCTAGACACATTAACTGATCCCTAGAATTTACGCAGTAAGATTAAGATCAGAAGTTCCCCCTGCGTTGAAAAAGTAGTGCTACAACTCTACTCTAACTTACAGCTTTTTTCCAAGTACGACAAAAATACAGACACACCCATTTCATTTAAACAGAATGGTAAAATGTCAGAAAAATTGATCGCTAACTAATTGTAAATCTTTGTAAACATGATTGTTAGACAGAAAGTTCCATATACATAATAAATGCGAATTAGTATTAGGTAAATACACAACGTGTTTATGTTCATAACATATTAAATATCGACTACTGTTTGGACACAGTTCGAAGTTACTTAAGGTTTTATTCGGCCAAGTAAACATACATTCGTGTAATAGGCTACAAAGACCCAATATTATGCGGCGTTTAATGACTCCAACCGAACGCTAAAATTATCTGTAAGTAGTTTTGGTGAGTTCGAAGTCACTGACTGAATCTTAATCATCCAATAAACTATAGTACTGGGTGCAGTGAATTTCTGTGAAATAACACTGAATAATATTTTGACGGATAGAAGGAAAAAATTGACCTACTGAATGTCGAAAACAGACAGACAGACAAAACAACACACAACAAAGACCATTAGGATTAGATGCGGGAAAGTAATATACCAACAAACATGTACCAGAAGTACAGGGCAGAATAAATTCTCAAATCAATAAAAAGAAAAATATTAAGTAATTAAACATGAAAATTACCACTGAAATATTTGTCTGCAACATACGAAATCCGGTAGACTCCAACGGCCCCGACCAATAGCTGCTACCTTGATGTGGTGGTCGGGCTTGCACATCGCGATGACCCGACAAGCTACACTGGCTGGAACATATGTTCCTGCAGGGTGCCAGGAAGGTTGTTAGGATGGCGATTAGACTTAAAGCAGTTACTGGCATTGTGTAAGATCTTTCTTACGTTTTGCTGGGGTCTGAGGGCGAAGTCGTACTGCTGGGAAACAGGGGTGTAGCAGTGAAATGTTTCCCTCAGATGACCAGCATGCCAGCTATGCTGTCTCTTCACTCTGGAGAGAGGGGGTTAGAAAAGGTCGACCCCAAAAATTGTACATCCTGAATTACCCTATGGTGGTCCGTAACCGGAGGTAAGTTTACTAGTACGGAACCAATCCCAGAAATCAATTCATACAGGCCACAAGCAGTTGTCCCCTGGCCTCTGCGGTCACGCAACAAAAAAACTCTTTCTGTTTCAGGTACCAGAAGAATTAATCAACTCCCACGGTGTGGGCAGCCGGGAAGTAAAAACCGCCCACACACTTCCAAAAGTACACGAAGCCTTCCTAAGCATCATTCTCCTTTACTCACATCACCTTCCCCATCCTGCTTCTCTACTACAGTTAGTACTATTCTGCAGGTTAGTGAGGCATCTTCACTTCACTCTGTGACCACAAACAATGGTGAGAGCCATAGAAACACCCTAGATAGCCTTTTAAAGCCATGCCACCAACTTCATATGGGGGCATTTAAGGTCAGGACCCTCTGCCAAATCGGACAACAGGCATCACTCGCAAGAACTCTAGCATCTCCAGCCATGGATGTATGTTGTGTTTCGGAGACACGCATACAAGACCCAAGTGTGGTCATTCATTTAACCTCACCCGGTCAACAAGGTGAATCTGCAAAATTCACTTAAGGGGGTCAGGAGACCCATCAGCCGGCTCGCGAGGACTCGCAGGTGTAGGGATAGCACTGAGTGTTAGGGTGGAAAAATCCCTTCTTGACTGGATCCCAGTAGATAGTCGTATGTGTGCGGTCCGTCTGAATGGGTCCGTTAAAAGAAGGAAAGATGGCGCTACCCGTCGTTGCCTTTTCGTAGTCTCCGCTTACGCCCCAACAGACTGCAGTTCGGATGAACTAAAGGATGACTTTTACCTGAAACTATCTAATTTGCTGCAAAAAGAAAAACGTTCAGATATAGTTGTTTTCGCAGGCGACTTCAATGTCCAAGTAGGGAAGTTGTGCCAGACTGAGAAGTATGTAGGTGGTACGTATGGAGTTCCCTGCCGACGAACCGACAACGGTGATTGTCTTCTACAGTTTTGCTTAGATAATCATCTGTTCCTAGTCAGCACTAACTTTAGGCACAAAGAGAGACATTGTGTAACCTGGCGACCTCCATCACCAAATCAACTCTGAACTCAGACAGACCACATAGCCATAGGGTATCGTTGGCGAGGGTCAGTAGAAGACTGTCGCTCCTTCTGGAACACGTGCGCAGGCTCTGATCATGCTCTGGTTCGCGCACGTTTATGCTTACGACTAAATGGACACAAGAAATTGACGGCAGCGAAACAGTTACGTCCTCAACTAGATCGAGACCCTGAGTCCCTATTTGAGGAAGAAATAGCGAAACGAGTGTCTGAGGTCAACAGCAGAACTTCCCCTGAGGTAACCTGGCACAACATACAGTTAGCTCTAGACATAGCTGTAAAGGCTGTTAATAACCTGAAACCGAAAGTTAGTAAGAGCCATTGGATCTCTATCTCCTCATCCGAACTGATTGACGCAAGAAGACTGATTCTGGTGAGCTCCAATTATGATGAGAAGCGAAAGCTACTCCAACGAAAACTAGCAAGAAGTCTTCGCAACGATCGTGAACAGTGGTGGGCGACAAAAGCGAAAGAGATGGAAAAGGCATCGGCGATTGGTAACACCAGATAACTACTTAGGCTTATCAGGGAAGCAGGTGCTAAAAGGCAAATGATAAGTGAAACAATCTCTGAGAAAAATGGTACCATAATTAGCTCCCAGGATAGACGACTGGAACGCTGGAAAGAACACTATGAGGAGCAGTTTGATTGGCCTACAGCCACGCTCAACCTGCCGAACATCAAACACCTCCCTGAATGGGATATAGACACAGGTCCCCCTTCCTTAATTGAGGTTACTAAAGCTGTTACTAGTCTGAGGGTAGGCAAAGCAGCAGGACCTGATGGAATGACTCCAGAGGTATTTAAGTACGGTGGTGACAGTTTACTGTCTGCATTAACTGAGGTTCTACGCAGCGTCTGGGAATCAGAGGAAGTCCCGTCGGGTTGGTGTAAGTCACTGATTATCCCCATATACAAGAAGGGAGACACGTCTTCCTGTGATAATCACAGAGGGATTAGCTTGACTAATATAGTATCTAAGGTGCTAGGCTCAATAATCATGCGTAGACTAAGTGGTGCTCCAGAGGCACAAACACGAGAGAACCAGGGAGGCTTTAGACCAGGAAGAGGGTGTATTGATCATATCTTCACACAAAAAAAATTCTAGAACATAGGCATACTTACCGGCAGCCAACAATCATTACATTTCTTGACCTAAAGGCGGGATTCGACTCTGTCGACCAAGAGTTTCTCTGGCAATGCTTGGCTGTAAAAGGAATTCCGAGAAAATACATTGCACTGACCAAGGCACTACTCGAACTCATGCAGCCAGGTGAGGGCTTACGACGAGTTGTCATCTGAAGTGGTGATGACTAGGGGTGTCCGTCAAGGATGCCCATTATCCCCATTTCTATTCAGTTTCGTCAGAGATGTACTAATGGACTTAACCTTAACTCACTTCAGCGACTCAGGGATTGACTTGCTACCAGGGAATAATCTCGTTGACTTAGAATATGCAGACGATATAGTCCTTCTAGGCGAGGACGCTGACAAAATGCAGAGTCTTCTAAACACCTTGAGCTGCAATCTACGAATGTTTGGCATGCGATTAGCTCCCGCCAAATGCAAGATGATGTTACAGGACTGGACTACACTGACTCCTAGTTTAGAAATAGGAAGTGAAGTTGTAGAGCACGTTGACTGCTTCACTTATTTGGAAAGTACCATCAGCCAGTGCCAACAGGTTGATGTCTGACGAAATCTCAGCACGGATACAGAGGGCTAGTTTCGCATATGACAGTTTACGCCGTCTCTGGCGTAGACGTGATATCCGACTATCGACCATAGGGCGAGTGTACTGCTCAGCAGTTCACTCCACTCCCCTTTATGGCTGCGAGACGTGGCCATTAAGAGTGGAAGACATGAAAAGATTAGCTGTATTTGATCATAGGTGCCTGCGTTCTCCCGTGTGAAGTGGCAAAATAGGGTGAGCAATATTGAGATTAGGCCTCGGTCGAGTTCTAGGTAAGGAGGGGAAATCAATCGACGAAGTTGTGAAGTTACATCGACTGAGATGGTTAGGACATGTGTTACGTATGCCAAGTCATCGCCTTCCTCGATAATGGGCAACGTTAACTGATATACGGTCAGGCTGGAAAAAAGCTAGCGGAGGTCAAACAAAAACTTGGCACCAATCAATGAAATCTGCAACAGTTAGTCTCAGCTACGTAGGAAGGTGTAAACTTCCTGGTTGGGGTTCCCCGGACGCTAAAAACCAATGGTTGGAAACAATTGGACATGGCTCAAAATCGTTCTCAATGGCTGGCGCAGATGCATCCACTCCTTGTGACTTATGATTTCCAATGAAACTATGTTGTTCTTCGTTATTACTATTCCTTTGTCTCATACCTCTGTTTACTGTCTCTAGTATGCATTTCTTCTACTTTCTTCTCTTGCTTTGCGTGCTACATGGAGTGTGGCAACTTGAACTGCTGCACATCGGTGTAAAGTTCTATGTCAAAAACAGATAGACAGACTCCAACGGTGGATTATCCATTTACTTTAAAAACAGACACAAAAGTAAACCAGTGCTTTAATATATTAATGGTTACCTAAACTTGACTTCCATCCAAAAGAAATATGCAACTATGCATGAAACGCAGACGAATATAATCCTAATTAATTGTCTACATGTTATTACACTTATAAATGTTCGAAATAACTAGTAAATACCGATGTAGTTTCCTACTATGCAGTTCAACAAGTTTATCTTTGAGAAAAAGCTTTTATGATTACAATCAGGTGACAAGTGATTGGAACATTTCCGAAAGTCTAACTACTAGAAAATATATTTCATCAGTAAATAAAAATAAGATGAAAATAGAATTACCTTGATAGTTCTGTCTGACGAGGCAGTAACGACACGATTAACTGAACCCATGAATTTTGCTGAAATAACACGCTCAGAGTGGCCTGTTAGGTTAACACGAAGCCTTGAATCATTTAATGTCCATACACGACATGAAAAGTCACTGGATGCACCCAAAACAGCTGTCTCCTGAGGTAAACAAATTATATGAAATAGTTAACTGAGTATGATAATCTAACGACAGAAGAAACTGCTTTCCTTATATGTAGAAGTGATCGTGGAAAAAAAGAGCTTGCAGTCTTCAGACGACAGACGATACAAACTAAGTGACCCGCACGCCGGTTTTGCAGAAAAACCTCTCTTTAGAGGAAGAGGCGAAAATAATCCCAAAACATAGTTAATAACTAATAAATACAATGTTTACCCATTCTGATAACGCATTGATTTGCGTAAACGGTGAACTTGACCAAAAGGGATGCATTTCTCCCACTCAATTTGAATCTCATGGTATGGTGTTATAGCCTGATTTAAATGCAACAGGCCTTGGATCCACTAGGATTACAGGTGGATGAAGTTATACGTTGTAATACGTAATGTCTCTACTCATGTACCAAATATCGTGATTTTCAACCCATTGCCATTTTCCTCACTAAATGACTTATCTTGCATTTGCTGCTAGTGGTAACACTATTCTATTCACATGCTCCAACAGACATAAGGAATTCTTCTAGGTCAAATACGATCACATTTGACTTCTCTACGAAAAGTAACTCAGCAGACAATTTCTTACTTTTTATTTTTATTTCAGACACATTGCAGAATCTATTCGCTGAGGTGGATAAAGTGAAATTTGACGATTAGTTCCTTAAGTTTTTGGAATATTCTGCGACTCAAGGAAACTACTCACCCAAATTTCAACACCGTTATCAACAATCTTCGAAATTCTAAAAAAAAAATAATGACTCCGAATTGGCGGTAAATATCTGACTGCTACTATGGCTGAACATTTGGGACTTGAACTGTGTCAGTGCTCTGTTGCGATATTAAACGAAGAAATGATAAGTGTGACAAATTGAAAACTTCGATAATTAAGTTAAAGTATGTCTAAGTCACACTGTTAAACAGGTACGGCTAATAAATAAAACGTACCACTACTCCATCAGAAGTATCGATATCAAAAATTATCCGACATTTGTCGCGATTTAGCAATGGCTGAAAAATGTAGACTCTCTAGACGTAGTTTCAGAGGTCATCCAACTCATTGTTTTGACGTATGACGCGAAATCAATAGCCAAAATGACATATATTCCTCGTTTCCTCTACCATCAACGGTAACTTGAAGAAACGAATGCTCTTTTGAATACAATTGATAAATATGCTCCCATTTTATTCGGTTGTTCCCTAACCTTTTCTTTTGAGTATTTCAGTATCTTACATTGTACATCTGTTAGTAGCCATATTGTACGAAGTTTACATTAAATAAATTCACAAAAGTACAAATATACCTGCCACCTAAAACATATCCATGTTTGTCAATTTTCAGTGGACGGATGATCACAAGCTGAAGTGTTATCTAGAATACTGCATACAAGCGGTTAGTCAGTGCTGCGAAAAGGAGCCAAATTTCTTAGAAAGAGTACAGAGGGTAGGAACAAAATTAGTCAGTGGTATCTCACATCTTCCTTATGAGAAGAGAATGGAGCATCTAAATACCTTCCTATAATCACGACAAAACAGAAGAGTTAACTTAATTCTGGCGTATTGTATATTGAAGGGTGACTTCGGGACTGACCTCTCTAACCTTTCTTCTCCCTCCCTCACAACAAAAAAGTGCTCAAACCGCAGACGAATAGAATACGTGTGAGATGTAGATTCTCTCACAGTGGTTAATGGCCGGGAGTCCTCAGCTGATTCAGTAGTATCAGTTCCATCGGTGAAATTAGATCTCTGCAGAGATATGTACTGCAAGGATTGACACGGACCTACTATTCTTATTATCTGAATCTGTCGATAAACAGAAGTAGCCTAGTGACACATTGTGTGCCAGTCGATAGAATGAAACACTTATTACTTCATCCCTAAGCGACTTCGAAATATGGAAGCTATAGGTCATGACCATTAAAACAACCCGATTTATTTGGAAAATATTTTTTAGTTAACAGATAAGAACTCAACGGGAGATGTTACATAGCCACTACTTAACTTAAGTCTAGAAATAAGCTTTCATCTTGGGGAACTGAATTGTGAAGAATGTATTTTACCATCTTGATAAAAGTTGTATTAAAAGAATCTCTAGAGTTTAATGGCACTAACTACCAATGTGAACGGACTCCCAAAGCTGATAAGAATGTGAACAGTAGCAAAACTAGTGAGCTGGAAATGTAATTGGCTAGATGAGCAAGTGACTTGGTTTCTTGAAAACAAAGAAAAACAAAATTTAGTAAAGTCTAGAGAATAAACAAGTTGGAAATTTTATGTAAGGAAGTATATCAGAATCATTTTGTTAGCAGTTTAGTCTTCATTGCGCTTACCGAATGTATGAAGCACATTCTTCACATATCAGCAAAGTAGGCACATTCCCAAGTGTGCTTAGCATTTTGGTTTTATTATCATATACAAAATAAAACTGTTAAGGAGAAAATCAACTCACATTTGGATCAAAGTCGATAGCGGTAACAGCAGCATTGCAGCCAAGGAGTGTTGAGTGAATTTCACACTTACCTAGATTTTAAAATAAAAAAATAGCAAGCTTGATACATTACCATGTTTGTATTTCAGATGTCATCAGATTGTAAATACACTATGTTATATGCAAGAATGAATAAAGAAGCAAGAAGACAAAGATCATAAGAAAAGAACATGAAAATTTTGGAAAACATTAATAGGCGGTAACAATCTGAAGAGGGAGGAAACGCATACCATTAAGATACGTCCACAGTCGTACTTTACGATCAAAGCCCGCTGATCCAAAAATGTGACCTGACGGAGTGAAACGGACGCTGTTTACTTCCCCTTCATTAGCATCCTAAAAATAAAGACTCAACGGAAAGAAAACCCCACTATTTTAACAGCAACGTGATGAGGGAGGGCAGACTTGCAAGGGAGAGGTTTATCAATAGGATCACTAAAAGATTAAGATATAATATAACTCAACCTATCGGCAACAAATATCGTCGAGTTAGCTGCATCCTGAAGGTTTTTGCGTATAGTTTCTTGGGTTTTTCTGCGAAATATTTGAGAAATGATTTCCACTTACCTATACTGTACATCATACTCTATATTTTTGAGCCTCTCAACAGTACTTTGAAGGGCTTTAATCCTTTTGATAAGCTGAACATTGTCATCTTCTAGCTGCCTGTTTTTTGTTTCTAGAGCTTTAATAGCCAGTAAATGTGAGGCTTGCTCATCTGTAAGCAACTGAGAATGCAAGTTGCATAACACCAACACAACAGACTTCTTTAACTTCCTCCAGCTCCTTAACTTTCTCCAATAACTGACGATTCTGCTTCTGGTTAGCCTTCAGGCAATCATCCAGCTCTGAAATCCTTTGAAAACTCAGTAAAGTAATGCTTGATTTACTTCACAGATCTTGATTGAAGTAAGCTATCCCTTTCCTGAACAGCCTTGTTAAGCTCAATTACATTTTGTGCGAGCTAAAAAAATTAGAGACATTTTTATGAACTCACACTTCCTTTTTGTCGATGTAATTCGGTGACCTCTTCTTGCAAATGGAAGACTTTCTGTTCATAGTCATATGACTTGACTGACTTTCTGAAAGAATATGCTAAACCTAACAGCGTATACATTTTTTCAAACTCCAGCTGCAGATTTGATTTCTCCTGTTGACATGATGTTAAGTCCCGGGAAAGGCGGGAGTTTTCTGCTTTCAGCTGTAGCACTAAATCTTTATTTGTATTGTCTGAAACATTAAAACTAAGTGTAAATGAACAGACATTGTGCGATTAAATCATTGAAAAATGACTTCTCAACAATATCCCGTTCAACCAGTGACGAAACAATGGCAGCTTTCCATGAAGGGATTTCCTTTTCCATGTAAAGCACCGCAAGGTCAGATTCGCGATTTTGGCGCCGTAATCTCCAATATCCGTTTGATAAGACGAAGAAATTGCATCAACTTTTCGTAATGTAATCGTCATACAGTAATGGGTCATCAGCTTTAGGACATTCATATTTCGTAGCAAAACCCAACTAATGAGGCTACTTCCTCAATCTTATCCTTGATCTGAAGAAAAAGAATGGGTATTCTTAATAGAAATTCACATTATTATGGGCTGACGGTGGTCCTGGGACACTGCTAAACAGTCGCAAAAGTGGTGGAATAAATATCTAACTACTGTTTAAAGGCATTCGGCTAAGGTAAGGCATCAGTCCATAGAAGAAATTGTTCTATCTTTCATGGGACCTCATTCACATGAATGTACATCTAGGCTGAGCTCATGAGCAATAGATGCCTCTTTAGTCCTCGTATTCTTTGTGCAACAATGATCCGACATTTCGATGAAGTGCATTTACGTACTAATCCTTACACCGCATCTTCTGTGTTTCTGGATCCGTTTCAGGATTCTTTTCGTCAAGATTCATGTTATTAAGTCTGATTTTGTATGCTGATCTGTTTATTAATTCGACATACGAACTGCAACGAATACTTCCGAGGCTAGTTGCCAATAAACTTTATTATAGGCATAAAATATCTTAAGTCTTTTAATGTATGAGAACAGTAGAAGTACCACTGAAAGTCACATGAAGATAGGAACAAGCCGCCAGGATTCCCTGGATGAATTGTGATTTACATTCTACAGATTTCATATTATATTCCATTGTGTATTAGATGTCTGCACTGTATAACAAAGTGCTTGTGCCACCCATTTGTATGTTGAAGGTCTGTTTATTAGTCTCCCACTTCAATTTAAGTATCAGAAATATGCATGCACCTTTGAAATACAATGGTGTGTGGGGTCAGTAAATCACTGCGTTTGTGTTAGACATATTTATATGAGGAACCTACGGCACAGAAAACCAAATGATGGTTTGTTTTATTGAACCAGTTTTATACCGCGGATTACTCAGTGGTTAGCAGATGGAGATAACTTTTTATTTCCTTCACTTTCCCAGTGGAACATAGGGCTTCAAGATAGTCACCTGAAGTTTCCGTAGCAGTGTTTGTTGTTACAGGATGGAGTTGTTAGCCTCATGCCCAACCTTTCCTCCCTACCAGCTTTATTTCTGGCTTGAGTAGGCCAGCTTTGTGATTCACACTCGTGTAGGGCAAAAAAGGTTGTCATGTGGCAGACATGAATGTTATTTTTAGCAGAGACCAACAAGTAGACAAGCTTGCAGATGCTCAAAAACAGCATCTAAACCCCCGTTCAGAGTGACTTCGACACCAAATTGTAACAGTAGAATTTGAAATCTGTTGAATTCTTTAGCTGTGAAGAATACAACACGCGTAGCGGTGTGAGTCTTTCTTGACAGAACTTCGAGATTAATTCCAGGATTTCGTGCAGTTTACATGAGGATCTCACCAGAGTGAGCAGTGGTTGTTATATAGAGCGAAATATTTCACTTACCGTTCATCGAGAACCGTTTATTAATCGTAGGCAGTAACTTTAGACAAACTAAGTCAACTATGCAAACGCTGGGTTGAAATGTACCTGCCTGAATCGGTGGAACAATTGAATTTCTATCCAAAACTGATCACCATAAATCACATAGTTTGCACTTTTCTTAGTCACTGACTTATGCCGTGAACCCGCTAAATTTTCAAAGTTAAAGTTTCAAGAGGAATGTAGGTAGCAGTGACTAGCAAAGGACATGTACTCTCAAAAACGATGCAGTTTCCATGTGGTATCACCAGCCTAGGAGGTCAAAGATGTTGACGTTTATGCGGCATACGTTGTACATAAACACAGGTATTTGTCCTGTAACTCTCAAAGTACTTGTTCGGCTGAGATTAGAGACAAACTGAAGTAAGAAACCGGTTGTCCGAAATACTTAGTATATTTCGGGATCAGAGCCGTAAGGTGATAATGATTGCTCAGCCAACTAGGCATCCTGCACGGCTGACTGAGCGTAAGACAATCGCGTGCCTAATGTCATGGTTGCTTGATCGCGTGCCTTCAGCCTGGCAATTCGACTTGAACAGTGGCAGTCAGCACTCGTTGTTGACTAAAGAGTGCTACATACTGATGGTTTTCGAAATTATTTGTCGCCACAACATTCTCCCGGTGAAATGAGGGAATCAGAGTTCCGCATGCAAAGTAAAGGAAGGTGTCCCGTTTGGCAATCTAGTCTCTTTCCTGAATGTTTTATTTTTTTTATTACAGCTTGATTCCACACCGTTTTTTTGGTACAAGTATGGAATTTTCAGCATGTGATATCGGTAGCCCAAATTTTGCAGGTCGACCATAGATATTAGGTGTGCGTCGGCAGGGGATCGAACCCCGGACCATATGCATGGTCGGCGAGAGTCCTAACCACTGTGCCACCGAAGACTGCCTATTTTTGAAGTGAACTTATGCCTTATTTCTGAGACTAGACAATAGAATTATTTAGGCTGAAATTTATCGGTAAATCGGTCTGAGAAAAATAAATGAATAAAGACTATTTAAAAGTTACCAATAAGTTTATTCGTAGTGGGCATGGTGTCTTTAATTTGGTTTCACCCCTTAGAATTTATTGTGTGTAGGTGTTTGTTGCTTTCGTTCCTTCTGGATAGGTATTCTCCAGCTTTTTGAAATGGATTTTTAGCTAGAGGAGACTAGGGAAAAGCACTACAAGGGTTTAACCTATGTTTCTGATAAAACAGGGCTAAATCGCATGATATACAGTGGGTTGCTACTTTATCTGAAGATCCTGTACTGACAGATAATACTGTGCGACGAATCAAACAGAGTATTATGTACATCTTAAGACACCGTCCGCTGAGGAAACCTGGTGATAGTCTCACTAGCACTCTCTAAACAGTAGTGCGCTGGGTTTAAAAGCCATCCACCATCTTACAAGTTAAAATTCACGTAAGCCTCAGATAGTCTGAAAACACTCCAGTATCTTGATGGTTTTTCACTGGTGGTGTGGGATCCTAACTCTAGCAGATAAAAGTGCTACAACGACTAATGATAGGTGTCAGCCACGTCTCATAAACCGTTAATGCCCAGCTCTTGCTACGCTCGGGCCCACGCTGTTCGTTGAAGTTTTCAGAAACGCTTAGTTATAACGGATGCAAAAACCAAAACACCGATTGGCCACTCGAGAATTCTTCATTGTTACACCAACATATAAAAATAATCAATGAACTAAGGTCTATGAACAAATATTACAATAATAAATCATAAGATTACTTCTGATGGTTTGCTACTGACTTCTTTCTGAACAGCAACCGATGAGACAATGACTGCCGTATTGATGCCTCTACGAAAATTGGGGAAGTTGATTTCGAGCAAACAACCAAGAATTGATCGTTCAATCTTCAACTCCATTGACACTCCCCGGCAAAAAAGGGATCCAACCCTTTTTTCCTTCACGACCAATACACGTTGACTTGGATGCCATTGCGAGAACCTGGGTCACACGGACAGAGCTGAAATGGAAAACAAACAGAAAAGCCAACACACCACAAGCATACCCACAGCACAATCTCACACATCAATGACGACCTGCGCGTCCAGACAGAGACCTCCTCTTGACATCTTGCAACACAATCGCCACTTGCTAGAATGACTCATGCAGAATGCAACGTGACCATAGCACCAACTCATGATACTCTACGCACATCCTCTTATCTACTCACTACCAATTACCACTGAAATCGCTTGTCACTCTTTCGGCCTCAGTTCTAGTAACGGTGACGCATGTGAGCCTCAGTAGTTTACACTCTTTCTCCCCGGTGTGTGGGACCGCAGCTAATCATTATCTCCGTGTGCATTTCATTCTCAGCAATAGCCTAGCCTCCCCGGCGTATACGACCCATCTGATGTCCTTAACATCAGTCAATTCATTCACGGATGTAGAAGACTCGAAACAACTTCAGAAGTAATCATAACGAAAATTTTAACAAAATTATGCAATAACATAAAGGTACGAAAACAACGAGTAAACACAATGAATCCAAAAATCACCAATTGATATGACACACCACACGTATATACAAATAGTATAAATAACCTCGCCGATCATGTCTTAGAGGAATTCCTTTGAAGAATCGCAGGACTTACACCAGTACGCCTACAACCCTTCTCAGGTTGACGATTGTAAGTTGTGGAATGTCCGGACACAAACAAGATTAACCAACAATTACAATAATTGGAACTCACACAATTATTTAACACAAACATATGTACAATCAACACATCAAATGTTGTGGATTCTGACACGACAAACTACCCTTGAAGAACTGTAGGACATACACCAGTACGCCTACATTCCTTCTCAGGTTGATGATCCAAGTGTAAGTCTTCCGGACACAAACAGAATTACCAACAGCTAGATGACAGACGATATAAATTCAGTATATACAATATGAACATATGTACAAGATCACACACCAAGCACATTGGACTGCTCATTGATGCGCTACACTTTGAAGAACTGTAGGACTTACAGCAGTACGCCTACAACCCTTCTCAGGTTGACGCTCTAGGTTGGAAATTCGTCGCAGAGTTCATTTGCTGACTTCCTTCTATCAGCTATATCCTCAAATCTGAACGGTAACACGCTCATGTCATTGTATCGTAGAACATAGATGACGAACAAACATGCGACGTATCTGGTCAACCAAGCGTAGGCACAGAGTAATTTACACCAAAGATAATAGCATTCAAATAGTAACTTGAAACTAGAAATGCCTTTATTCGTGCAAGTCAGTTTAACAATTACTCTCTCGCTTACACCTGGCTTATCCTCACTAAACTGACCATTGATATTCGTCCTTTCAAACGAACTGATACTAGCATAGTCATTGCACAAGATACTTGAGTTGATGGGCATCTGTTTCATTGTGGATGAAAACACCAACGATGACTGATTGACACAAGTTGATGAACTTAGCGGTGGATCAAATCTGTAGTTGCTCGACATTCAGAAATTTGTCTACCTCCAAGATCAACACCACTGCTGTCTTTCACTACTAGTTCGGGTTTAGCACTATCATCTGATGATAGGTGGGCTA